CTCTCTCTCTCTCTCTCTCTCTCTCTCACTCACACACACACACACACACACACACACTCATTCTCATGCTAAACTCATGAATCCTTAGCTTCTCAAGTCAAGCCAAGTATTTATCTGTAAGCAACTGTTGGTTTCATTGGTGAAGAAGACCAAGGTGCTCCCTAAGGCTCAGCTACCCTTTCGAAACACTCTTGGGGTTTGATTCTTGAACTCAGACTCAGGGGCAATTCCATACATTTGGCTCTTTACAGCAGCCCAAGCCCATCTATAGCCGCTGGAACAAAAAAGCCCCCACAATCCTCATTAGGCGAATGCATAAATTGGCTACTGCATAGGCAATATCAAGACGTGTCAGTGATAAATATATCAATTTCCCAACCAACTTTGGTATCTTTCTTTGTTAGTTGGTACATAATCCATATAAACCTCAAGTTTATGATTCTCAATAATATGTGTATCAACTGGTTTACAGGCAAGCATCCCAGTATCTGCCAGCAGGTCAATGACATACTTCCTTTGTGAAAGAAATATGTCATGTTTAGATTGAGTGACTTCCACTCCTAGAAAATATTGGTTTGTGAATGTACTTTTTTCATTTGTGACGAAGGTTCGAAGCTAGATAATGTGCATCAAAGGTTTTATTTTTAACTTGTTCTTTTTTTGTTATGTAACCAAAAATAATAATATCATATTGTTTGAACTCTCATATGGCCCTTTAGATAGTAAGTTTTTTCTTTTTTTCTTTTTCTTTTAAGTCTTGGGATTTCTTTTTCTTATCTTAAAGTGATTATATAGAGAAGTGATTTTCCAAAAAAGTGCTTGTTGGCCTATCCAGAATTACTCCTAAACGAGCCCTTAGTTGCCTAGCAAACTTCTTTCTTCATTTGTTGTATATATGAATAATCTAACAAAGGAGAGAGGGGACTTACGAAATATTTGTACAAAATTGTTATAGCAAATCCCATTGTAAAGGTGATCCCCAATATGTGGTGTGTGTTTTGTTTGTTTACTTCAATTTTATACTCGTTAGGGAAAGTTCAATGGTAGGCTCTAAATGAAGCTCTAAAAATGGTGGATGTAGCCTCATTTAGAGCTCCAGTGGAATCTTTCGCGCTCTAAAAGAATCTTTCTCACAATGAAAGTTCTATATTTTTCATGTTGTAATTTACGTGTTAAATTTTTTTTATTGTGAACCCTTTTTTTTGTGGTTAATGTATATTTATGTTATATTAGTTTTATTTATTCATGAACATTTCTAGACCTGGCATTTGTGTCGTGTTTGCAGTGTTCGTGTCAACCCGTTTTTCTTAACGAGCTGGCACGACACGACACAATAAGAAAACGGGTTGGAAATGTCAAACACGAACACGACCCGTTACAATTCGCGAATCACATGACACGACACAATAACCTGTTAAGAATTAAAATAAATAAATAACAATAATAATAAATTTATAAAAAGACGAAAGAGAAGGAAGAGAAGAAGAAAGACAAAGAAAAAAAGGGATAGATTTACAAAAATGCCCATGAGCTTAATGGGTTAATGGGCATTCGCGGATTGACACGACACGACACGATAGGTTAACAGGTCAACACGATATCAACACGACACGATAACTCAAACCCGAATACTGATTTTTTCGTGCAAATTCGTGTCATGTTAACGGGTCATGACAAAATATTGCCACCTCTAAACATTTCAAGTAAAAGAAATTAAAATTTGGATGAGATTATGAAAACAACAATTTATTTCATAAAAGTAGCCGTTGTTAACATAAAAGTTGCCATTGTTACTTATTAAACAAATAATCGGACGGTTGAAAAAAAAAACGAAGAGTATTGACATTGTTTGTAACTATTGCAGCTTCTTATTGCATTCAAATTGAACCATTGATCAACAATGGTAACAACAAGATGCGGTGCGATCCGGAGAGTAAGAATTACCAGCGCGCTGGGCAAGTGGCTTCCTAGTTGCATGTGGGCTGGGCCTTTTCCTCACGTGGGGCTCAATTGAGTTTCAGTGGCTTCAATCATGGAGCTCAGATCAGGTGAGAACAACTATATGGGAACATTAAGTGCGAACTTATATCTAGACCGTTGAATAAACTTGGATAGTTGAAATTAAAAGATGGTTTTAAAAGGTTTCACATAGAAACGGATCAAACAAAACCCATATATCTAACCGAGACCTCATCCTCTCCAACTTCTCTATCAAGACCCCATTGGAACAACTATTTTTTCTCAAACAAACAAGAGACTATGAATCAGGAGTTAATCAACACCCACCAACCCCATCCTACCATCATCCCTCTGTTTCTTCTCCCCCCACCTATCATCCTCTTTCTATCTCCCTCTTTCTCTTTTCCCATTCTCTTTTTGACATCCACCAAACCCAAGTTCCATATCTGAATTTCTTTTTTAAGCATACTAATTCTACAAAAAAAAAATAATTAAAAAAAAAATGGACTTGAGATGGTTGTGGGATTCTTAGGAGAGATACGAGAGGTCAGGAGTAGAGGATGAGGGTTGGGTTTAAGGTGGTTGTTGGGTGGGTCTAGGTATGGTTTTGGGTGGGAAGGGGTGGACCATATGGGGCTGTGATGGCTGAGAGAGGAATAGGGAGGGCATCAGGTCTAGATCGATGCCCTTTGTTTTCATTTTACTTACTGGAATGATTTATATAACATCGGCTGATCAACTTCATTTTTGCTTTTTCCTGATATGGATTTCTTGGATTTTGGTATCTTATTTTGTATTTTGGGTTGTTGATTTGTATGCTGTCTTTCTAAACTCCCTTAACAAGTTGGGCATGCGTGACATCTTTGTTCCAACTTGAGGGGGAGTGTTGGCGAGATCCTAACTCTATTAGGAGATTTAGTTCCTACTCTATTACGATTTTATTTCTCCCTCCTTTGTACAAATCAAGTGTAATTTGTTTTCTTGTATAACTCTACTAGAGTTTACACACTTGTATTATAAATACCTCCGTTGGGGTATTTTCCTTAATAAGGCTCGTTCGAGCTTGTTGATTCTTGGATCGCCGTAAAGTGATGAATCAAGCATTTGTTGCCCCCCTTTTTTTTGAGTTAGCGAGAACTAGGCCTAAAGCATCCCGAGAGAGAAGCAAGTCCAAGGAGAGTACTCTTGTCTTCTTCTAACGGCTGCATGTTTTGTGCTGATGTTTCCTACAACTAGATGAAGAGTTGGAGATGTTGCATTGATGTTGAACCGAGATTATGTGAGCTTAGCATGAGGGCTTGGAGTGTGGGAGCTAAAGACCCATAAGTTTAGCAAATGAGAATGCTTGTGCTTGGCTTGGTGTTGGATGTGTTTGAGGTTGGGTGTTCATAATTTGTTGTTTGTGGCTATGACTATGGGAATTTAAGAGTTTCAAGAGAAGGGGGATGGAAGGAAAAACTTGATATTTGAAGGCTGTGGTGTTTACAACTTCGAAGGAAGGAAAAGCTTGGAGTTATGCTTGGTGAGGCTTTATGGGTTTAAGAGTTTCAAGAGAAAGAGGATGGGAAGAAAAAGTTGAGGCTTCAAGGCTATGGTGTTTATATCTTGGAAGGGTGTGAGGAGGAAAGAAAAGCTTGGAGTGCTTGGTGATGATTTATAGGGAGAATGGTTTCAAGGATAGGAGGTTATGGCTAGGGTGCTTGCAACAGCTAGGAAGGAGGTGTGATGATTGAAGAATGGGGTTGATGCCTGCTGGGATGCTTGCAGCACCTAAAGCAAGAAGTTGTTATGCTGCTCCATCAGCTAAAGGAAGGGCCTGATGACTGAAGAACGGGGTTGATGGCTGCTACGTTGCTTGCAATAGCCGAATGAAAGGGCTTGATTGCTGATGAAAAAATGGTCTATTTGCTTGAGCCATGAATGCCAATCTATAGAGGGTGAGGGTCTTCTTTTATTTCCAATAAGTAAATGGAGGTGATAGAACCAGCCTATTTCCAATGGTTAAAAGGGAGCACTAGGGCATGCTATTTTCTAGCAGGTGAAGCTAAGTACCATAAACTGATTATTTCCTATGGGTAAAAGGAAGCGTTGGAAATGGCTTGTTTGCAGCCGGTAATAGGGAGTTCTGGAAAATACTTGTTTCCAACGGGTAAAGCTATGTATTTGGAAAATGACTATTTTTTATAGGTAAAAAAAAGTGCTTGAAAAATATTTTATTTGCTCACCCACATTGGAGAACTCTAAGTAGTGGGCTTGGACTTTGGTGCTCCCAAGTAGCTAGCCCAAAGTCTCCATTAAGGGAAATTTATATAAATACCACCTGAACTTTCAGGCATGTACGTCATTACCACCTAAATTTTTATTTTTTTATTTGTAACCACTTGAACTTTGTAAATTGTTGCAATCCACCACATACGTCTAACTCCGTTAAAGTTTCAGTTAAATTTAAGGGTATTTTCGTCAATTAACTATAACTAAGAATAATTACATAAAAAACATAATTAAAAAAAAAATTAAGCTAACCTCCATATCTCTCTATCCTCTCTACTCCATCGTCTTTATTCCACCAAATATCATATTAGATTGCAATGGTCCATTGATTTTGTTGCCTTCTTGTATTTCTTTTTTTTTTTTTTTTTTTTTTTTTTTACCCTTCCTGCATTCATTTCATGGCTTGCACTATTTGTTCAAAAGCTTGTCCTTCATTTCAATGGAAGTTTGCATATCGAAAAAAAAAAAAAATTTAGACTACAATTACTCTCTCTCACCCTCAATCCAGCAAATTCAAAAAAATTAACATCAAAGCTAGAATTTAAATTTTGTAACTTCATCATGGGTTTTGGGAAGGAATCAATTGCATTCCTAGTATATAAATATCCCAAAAAGGTCCTAAACATCTGTAATTGACAAACAAGTTCTAGGAATGCCTAAATTCAAGTACCAAAACACCAGTGCAGTCCTTATACAGGACATGCCTATAATAAACTCCAAATTAATTAGAAAACAGAAATATAACCAAGCAATTAAGTCCTCTATGATCTCTAATTCTTTGTCTTCTTAGTAGGAGACTTGAGCTTAAATTTCCTTGTTGTGTTGGTTGTCACAGAAGAAACAGGTTGTGATTCCATTGGCAAGCTAGAGCTTGGTTGGTATGTTGATGTATTTGCTAAATTTGGTTGAATTGTTTGTTCACTGATAGTGCTTGGTTGGCCTCTTGATGCCCTTGGTCTTTTTACCTACAAATGAATTCAGTAATTATGAACATATATCATGTGCTTGCAAATGATATGTTTGAATACCAATCAAGCTAAATACCTTATTGATATTGTTGGCACCACCTTTTTTATCGCACTTTCTCTTGTTGTGGCCATGCTCCCCACAAATGGAGCATTTTATTTTGACATGGAAGGATCTTGATAGCTTAGATCCAGTAGATGCTACTGGTTTCTCATCTTTTTCTCTTGCCCTCACTTTTTTGGGTCTCCCAGGTTGCTTATGATACATAGGGGGCAAAATGGGAGGAAAGTTAGTGTGTTCCCACAACTCTTCATTGGCTATAGGGTGAATAAAAGGTCCAGAAGCCCTTTTCCATGATGCCTTCTTATAACGTGAATGTATATACTTGACAGGATCTTCATGCCTTCTACAAATGCAAGCTATTGCATGTCCACAAGGAATTTCAATCAAATTCCACCCTCTACATGTGCAAGTGTGCTTAGCCAGATCAACTGCAAATTGAACCCCACACGTATGCACCACTTGATACATTTTTTGTCCTGCCAAATGAGTAATGTAGTTCTGCTTCTCTACCTTATTCTTCTCAAGGATCGTATGGATCCTTGGCCCAATATCACCATGCCATTTGTCACATGCTTCCCTTTGTTTAGCCATCCTCAACATCATATACATTCTCAGAGTTTCCAACATAGTCAGAATAGGTTTATCCCTCGAATCCAGTATGGCACTATTGAATGCCTCACACAAGTTATTCAGCAAAATGTCATATTTTAGGTGCTCAGAGAAATGCGATTTGCTCCAGTAGTGTGCATTTTCCTTTTTAAGCCACTTATATGCTTCATCATCCAGCTTTTGTAAACTACTCATCTCAACATTAAACCAAGGCACTGTTGTTGCCCTTGCTACTGCCCACAACCTTTGCTTTAATTCTAAACCCTTGTGTAGTAATTTGAAGTTGTTATAAAGGTGTCTAACACAATGTCATCTTCATTTTTCTCAAATGATATGACATCATCTTCATTTTGCTCAAATGATACACCAAGCCCTTCTTCATCTTGCTCATAATCAGAATCAATAAATTCATCATCAGATTCAGTGGTTGCTTCTTCTTCTTGTACATCCACATCCTCCCAATTAAATTCTAGCACATCTAATTGAGGAGACTTCTCTAGGTGAAGTGTGTTACTTTGTAGCCTCTCAGTTTGAAATATATCTATTTGCTGCACATAATTATTATTAATAGATGCCTGACTCTCTAGAAGCCCACAAGAAATTCCATGAGAGAAATAAATGAACAACTCTACTGTGCAGCAAGTTATCAAACATGTTATTAAACACCTCATCATTTGTAATACAAACCAACTTACTTTCTAGCCCATTTACTCCCTCTGGCACTCTATAGTAGTATCCAACACGTTCTTGATTCCCCAATTTCTTTGCAAAATCATCAAAATCGAAAGGTGACATGTAGTCTCGATTTAAGTTGTCTACCCAAACCACACTACCACCAGAATAAAAGTTGTATCCATTACCTATGTCTTGAAGTTGACCACCATGGTGTATTTTAGCAGTCCACAATGCTAGATCTAACCCTCTACGTATAGAACATTGAACAAACAAAAGTTACCACTATTTTTAAAATTTTGAAAATTTAACCTATATATCCATAGTAATACACTATACATGATCGTAATTTTCATGTGAAATTAGTTTTATACATGCAAATAACAAACAAAACATATAATTTTTCAGAACTATCTTCATAAACCAATAACAACTATTAGGAGCTGCTCCTTTTTGTTGAACTAACAAGGCAACGTTTTTAAATTTTATTTTGTTGGGTTTGTGCCCTACAAATAACCACTTAAAGAAGTTGGCATGTGAGAGTGTACCATAAAAAAAAATGCGAGTTAACTTATTAAAATTTGCAATTAATGACAAAGTGGCTTAATTGTCTACTTAGGTGTTAAAAAGTCGAGGAGATATGGTAGATTTCAACCATATCAGAATAGGCTTCCAAAGATTGGTAATGCAGTTCCCATGAAGTACATATATATGTTATGTGTGAGTCACAACATAAAATATAAACGTGGAAATTTGACATATTTGACATAGCCCCACAGACACTCGATGCAAATCTAGTTGTTAAGCAGAATATCATAATGGACAAAGAAAACTACAAGATTAAATAGCAACAAAAAATTTAAAGTTACAGTAAAGTTAAACAATCAAGAAATTCAAAAGAAAAAAAAACACATAAATTTAGAATCGCAATTGACCATAAAATGTTAAAAAAACACAAATGTATCAATCAGCACATCGCTTACCAAACACTTACTTACAATCTAAAAAGTATAAATACGTAATTGTCGAAGCTTACCGTAATTTGGTGGCTCCCCAACATATATGAAGTTATTATCCATATCAATTGTTTCAGTCCTCAGTTTGCTACTCAATTTCAACAACCCACACAAGAGATGCCAAGCGACAAAGATGAATATAGAGTATGGTGTGTGCAGAGGGTGGGTTTTTTTTTGCGGTGGAGCAAATTGACGTTGGAAAAGTTGGAAAAGTTGGACTAGGGTGAAAAGTAGAAGTAGGAGTATTGTGGGTCTTTTAGGTCAACTTATTTTATTATTTTAAAAATCTGTTTTTTTATATAATTATCCTTTATTCTAGTTAATTGAAGAAAATATCCTTAAACCTAACATAAATTTTAACGGAGTTAGATATAAGTGGTGGATTACAACACTTTACAAAGTTCAGGTGGTTAAAAATAAAAATTAAAAGTTCAGGTACTAATGACACACATACTTGAAAGTTTATGTGGTATTTATGCAAATTCCTCTTATCCAAGAGCTTCCATAACTTTCCACACCACAATCCCTCGTGCAAGTCCTGTAAACCACATGACTTGAGTTCATATGAGCTTAGTAGGTGATTGTCATATGAAAAATGTATTATTGGTTTGGCATGGTATGTACACTATTTCTATATTTATTTAATAAATTAATTCCCAAAATACAGCTTGGATTAACGCATGACCAACATTATATGTTATATTGGACTTTAAATGTCTTTGGGCTTCCGTGACTTTTCTGGGCCTCAACAACCTCCTTTTGGAGAATGAAAATATATCAAAAATTATTTTACCCCATATTGTTTGACTGTTTGCACTCTGACTCACCCTTTTATTTATTTTGTATGTTATTTTTTAAATTGAGGTGGTAAGCATGCTAAACTGGCAAAAGAGGATGAAATTGATTTTGCCGAAATAATCTTACATAAACATAAAGGAAAGTGTGTGTGAGTCATACTTCATCTCCAGTCCAGCTGTTCTTCATCTTGGGACCTGTAGGCCCTTCTTCCCCTAATACTTCATTTGGTAGACTCTTTACGAATTTATCAAAAGCAGATTTGAGCTTTCCAGGCAAAAGTTTCTCCACCGTTTTGATTTCTTCCGCAATGTCATAACTAATGTTTGGACCCCATTTCCTAGAGTAGTTCAGCCATGGTGGCTCAGTCACAGTCGACCCCAAATACTCAGCCGAGACTAATAAAAGGCTTCGTCCAATGTCCAATACCTTCTTACTCTTGGCTGTATCATTCCTTATTCCTATTCCGCCACTCCCTTGCAAAACAAGCCCTGCCTTCGGATACAAGGCATGCCCATGCAATGACGCATAGCCCACTGCTTTGTTTCCATTTTCAAACTCAAGCTGGGAAGCGTCCACCCACGTGCCCCCACTGTGTTGCGAGAAGAAGACCCTCCACAGTTCCCCTGTGAAATTGCTGACTCGTAAGGTCAAATGCTCCCAATCACCAACATGCTCGCCTATCTTCCCTAATGAGATGTTGAAAAAATCAACTTTGGCCATCGCCGGCCCATTGAAAGGGTAGAAGATCCATATGGCTATATCCGTAAATGTTGAGCCCAGCATGGGCTTTATGTGTAAATACACCTGACAGTCGAGTAGATCTCCCTTTTTCACTCTTTCACTGGAGCCTTTATCCACGGGTAGGTCCAGCCAATAAGAGTTATCATTTGAGCCACCTTGGGGAAGGTTGGAGCCCGTTGGTTCGATGGCAACTGCATCACCTTGTTTCTTGTATAGAAGGGCCCCATTGCTAAAAAACCAGCCTACCGAAGAAGGGAGGTATACTTCGTCAGGATGCAAGTATATAAGTGGCGAGTAAACTTCAAGTAATGCCTCAATTTGAGTCAGGTTGGGCATGTAAATATGAGAATTAGATAGAGATAGCGTGTTCTTCAAACAAGCCATCGCAATATTAGATGAAGGAATTCCATTTAGGGCTACGAATGTGCCAGCGGGTACGCCTATAGCTTGGGTCCCCCTATTGCTTGGTCTGAGGCTAAACACATTAAAACCATTGGCATCACCAGCGGTACCTGGTCCCCAAATCCACGAGTCAGCCTCGCAGTGGTCAGTGAAGTCAGATCGAACGCACCTGATTTGATCAAGAGATGGCTTCTCCGGAGAGCTGGTGACCACATGGCCGATGGCTTCATAACCAAGTGGGGGAGTGGGTAACCAGACGTAGCCATCACCATCTTTCTTTAGATTCTTCAAGGACTCGCTATTCCACACAAGAGTGTAATCAAGTGGTTTCTTGAGTAAAGGGTGGTCATCTTCATCTTCGTCTTTATCTTTTGTTGACTTTGCAGCAAGGGCCCATCCCGAAAGAGGTTTGTTGTTGGGTTGGCTATAGCAACCAAGCATATAGAAACCTTGGGGTAAAGGTGAAGGTTCGAAGAAGCTTGCCCCAAGATTGTCTGGTCCCCCCTCATGGGTAGCCCAGACTTTGCTGAAAGATGATATCTGGTATACTTGTAATCCACCTAGATCGATGCTTTCACTTGCAAACCCATCACCTGAAACGTGGTTACGTGGATAAATCATATGATTAAGTTAATTAGCACATATAAACTATGTATCCAAAGAGAGTAGATCATCGTCAAACACACACACACACACATATATATATGGCTAGTGTGTGTCTAAATTAGAGATGGTAGTGCGTACCAGGTGGCCAGCTGGGTAATGGAGCCGGAAGCTTGAATGTGGTTTCGATAGGTAAAGCCTTGCTTTTCTTGAAAACACCCCTTGCTGAAGCTGCGAGGGCAGCACAATTTCCCATTATTGATGTCTTCAAAGATTGAATTTCTATACAGAAATGATATGTAAAATCTATAAGGAAGTTAGAAGCAGAATAAAGCAGACGGAACAAGAAGCATATTCTGTTTCAATATTGAAGGGCTTCAAAAAACGATTGGCATAAAAAGGACCGGAACTTGGATGTGTCGTGCAAGCAAGCCAATTTTGGCTATTTAATGCTTCCAAACATTGTTCAACTTGTCTTGAAAACCCAAATTGCTTTCTTTGGGGGAAATTGTGTGTTGTCCAACTTCTCATGTCCGTTGGCTTTTATATTTTGTCGAACATGTCTGTTGGCATTATAAGTGGAAATATATATACATATACCCAAAAAAATAAGAAGATAAACTATGTGGTAAGGAAAGAATAGTGGCCATTGGCAAAATATAAAGCTTTAAACATTATGATTACTGAAGACCTTGATCATTGGTTTTAGTACTCTCTTCCTTTTTTTCTACCCCTTTTTTTATTTTCTTTTCAAATGAAAGTAATTTTTTTTTTTTTTTTGGGAAATAAATAGATAGTATTAATAAGTTAACAAAATACAAAAATATCACATAAATCAAATTACATCATAAATAGAGCCTCGAATATAGAGCATCCCATTATGAGAGATGCCTTTAGAGCAACAAAAATTTCATCGGAGCTCTAAATAAGGCTCTATCAACCTCTTTTAGAGCCCCAACCATT